TGGTCCTGTTAGCAGCATGGTCCTGTTAGCAGCATGGTCCTGTTAGCAGCGTGGTCCTGTTAGCAGCATGGTCCTGTTAGCAGTGGGGTCCTGTTAGCACCATGGCTCCTTTTCTTGCACCTTGATGTAGATTCACACCAAAATGGATGTTGGTTCCTCACTTCTTTTTCTAGTTTTTCAGCTAACAAGAAGGTCGGACAGATCTAGGGTATTTCCAGTTCCCCCTCTTTGCTGTGCAACAGACAATAAAACAGATTTTTATAATTTTACGTCTAATAAAGAGTGCACATGTCATTAATCACAGGCCGCTGACCAACAGTTAGCGTAGATGCTAACTTAACATAGAAAAAAACACTGCAAAGCTAACATGATTAGCATTGTGTTTAGCATCGAATGACAAATCAAATGTTTCAAAGTCAATAATAACAGTCATATTTTGATGTCTTCAACTAAAGACAAATATTCCTTAAGTTTTAGCCAAACCTTCTACAGCAGGTACAGCAACTCTACTGGGACAAATGACACCATGCAGCAACCTTTTTCATTCAACCTTTATTTATACAGGTTAGTTTCATTGAGCCTCGAGGACTCATTTACAAGAGAGACCTGGATTTAACAAAGAAAGATGACAACAGACAACAATGACAGCAGTAGACAATCAGAAAAGAAAGCACAGATACAAGGTGTTCCTCAGGGTTCAGAGTTAGACAGGATCTGTTTCTGAAAAATAAACTCTGATTTACTTTCAGTTTCTTTAACAAGTTTTCGACATGAGACAAGAAAGATGCGAACTGACCAATATTTGTGAGAATCGACAAACTCAATCGGGCCACCATTTGAAGATAAATTAGAAGGAAGGACTGCTGGGACTGACTTCCTGTTCGAAAACAACATCCCTTTGGTTTTGTCAGTGTTTAGCACCAGTTTGAGACAGAACAAGTCTGACTGGATGATGTCAAACGTGGATTTTAAAAGCTGGAAAACCTTAGCAACTGTTTTAGCTCGACAATAAACAACTGTGTCATCAGCATAGAAATGTAAGGATGCATCAGGGATGATCTGACCTTCATTTCTTATCAAGGTCAAGTTCAAGGTTTCTTTATTGTCATTTGCACCTCATGTGGTACATGTGGTGGAACAAAATTGTGTACACAGGGTCCCAGTTACATCCAACAAAAATATAAATTGTAAAGAAAAACAATAGTAAGAGCTAAGATTTAAGTAATAAGATCTTATCTAGATTGTGAAGAGGGTGGGTCCTAAGACTGAACCTTGTGGTACACCATCGTTAACAGTTAGATAACTGGAAGAAGTACCATTATATTGAACACATTGCCTTTGATCTGAGAGATGATTAGAGAACCAACCAATAGTGTGATCTGAGAAACCAAGTTCAACTCCCACCCTTTGTGTGTATAAATGCCATGTACCATGACTCAAACCATTTTAATACTAGTTATTTAAAATTTTTATCTTCTCTTTTTCCTCAGAGCATGATCTCCTCCATAGTGAATAGTTCTTACTATGCCAATGTCTCCACTGCCAAATGTCAAGAGTTCGGTCGTTGGTATAAGAAGTACAAAAAAATCAAAGGTAAGACCAGCGGTACACCTGCCAAATGCTTGCATCATTGATCAGTGATCAACACGTTTCTAAGACAGTTTGTGCTTGGAAACAATTATACAGCTGGTTTACTACGTGACATCTATTCATTCTTGGGCTGTTTAACATTTTTACAGTGCAATAACATAAATCTGTTCAAGTTTTCTGAAGATGGAAAGTCAAACTGAACTAAATTACTGTCAGAGCTAATTGTTTAGTTGCCACATGTCCTCTGCACCATAAACCACAGCTCAGCTCTGCTCATGGCGCTGAGCTCACATCTCTGGACACCCATTTGCGTCCACCTTTAGTTTTCTGAAACAGCAGAAAGTTTAAAGGGTCACCTCTGTGGACCAGCCTGGGCCCCAGGACTACTAAAGACCTGTTTACTACTGTTGACCAGCCCAGTCCTAAGGATCATTAAAGACC